TATTTATTTATGACTGACATTTATAAAGCTTCAACAAATTCCGCAGCGCTGTACAATTGTGGAAAAAGGCAAAACACAATAAGAATAGACCAATACAACAGGTAGAGGTAAAGGTTAAAATGGGGAGATGAGACAAGAGGTAGCAGAGGGATTTGTATGTGATGACAGAGAGAGTAATGGTATAACTGCTGCAGCTGATACCATGTGAAGGTAAAAGGGAGGTGATTGGCTGTGGTTCCAAACAGCTGGAGGTGTATGCTATATAGTTAGAAGGAACCAGGGTGGGTGGTTAGAGCCGAGTAAAATTAAATGGCCTTCATGTTGCTGGGATGGATGGTTTGGGTCTTTTAAGGCTGCAGTTTAATTCTTCAATCAGAGCCCTTTGAAACTTTACTTTGAAATAGGTTCATTGAGGAAAGTGAATAACCCCTGCAGGTTCTCCTGTCAGATATATAAAATGTGCTCTTCTTTTTCCACGAATAGAGATTCCATTTGACCCGACCTTTTTCCTGAGCCGAGCAGTCTCAAATGTGATTTGCTCCATTGTTTTTGGAAGCCGGTTTGACTACGAAGATGAGGAATTCCTCACACTGCTGGGCCTCATCAATGACAACTTCCAACTTCTCAGCTCTGGCTGGGGAACGGTACGTGAAAAATAACCTTCACTATGTAACATAGTTACATAGTTAGTTACGTAGTTATGTAGTTACATAGTTACATAGTTAGTTATATAGTTACATAGTTACATAGTTAGTTATGTAGTTACCTAGTTATGTAGTTACATAGTTAGTTATATAGTTACATAGTTAGTTATGTAGTTACCTAGTTATGTAGTTACATAGTTACATAGTTAGTTATGTAGTTACATAGTTACATAGTTAGTTATATAGTTACATAGTTACATAGTTAGTTATGTAGTTACCTAGTTATGTAGTTACATAGTTACATAGTTAGTTATATAGTTACATAGTTAGTTATGTAGTTACCTAGTTATGTAGTTAGATAGTTACATAGTTAGTTACGTAGTTATGTAGTTACATAGTTACATAGTTAGTTATATAGTTACATAGTTACATAGTTAGTTATGTAGTTACATAGTTACATAGTTAGTTACGTAGTTATGTAGTTACATAGTTACATAGTTAGTTATGTAGTTACCTAGTTATGTAGTTACATAGTTACATAGTTAGTTACGTAGTTACGTAGTTATGTAGTTACATAGTTACATAGTAAGTTACGTAGTTACGTAGTTATGTAGTTACATAGTTACATAGTTAGTTACGTAGTTACCTAGTTATGTAGTTACATGGTTACATAGTTACGTAGTTACATAGTTATGTAGTTACATAGTTAGTTACGTAGTTACCTAGTTATGTAGTTACATGGTTACATAGTTAGTTACGTAGTTACCTAGTTATGTAGTTATATAGTTACTTAGTTAGTTACGTAGTTACCTAGTTATGTAGTTATATAGTTACTTAGTTAGTTACGTAGTTACCTAGTTATGTAGTTACATAGTTACATAGTTGTCTAGGTTGAAAAAAGAGCAACCATGTTCAAGTTGAACCATGAAGCCCATGCTTGAATGTTGTTAATCCAAATAAGGTTAAAAAAAACTATTGCAGCCATTTCCAATTACGCCCCAAGAAGGGGAAAAAATCTTCTCCATAATTGCAATCAGATTTCTCCCAGCAACCTGTTTACATACATATCAATTGTATCCTGGAATATTTTGTTTAAATATATCAATAGAATCTGATAATACGAGCTCTAGGCAGAGAATTCCATCTATTTATTATTCTTTCTGTAAAGAATCCTTTCCTTTGCTGTAAGCAAAAAAAGCTTTTCTACCAGTCTTAATGGGTGACCTCTAGTCTGTTGTACATTCCTCATAATGATCAGGTAAGCACATGTGGTTTGTACTGACCCTGTATATCAGGCTTCACCAAACTCCGGCCCTCCAGATGTTGCTGAACTACAACTCCCATGATTCTATGAATGAAATAGATAGGCTGAGTATTATGGGAGTTGTTGTTCAGCAACATCTGGAGGGGCAGAGTTTGGGGAAGCCTGCTGTATATGTTTGGATAGTGCTATCATATCCTGTGAACCACCTTTTTTGTAAAGAAAATAATTCCAGGTTTTCTAGCCTCTTGTCATAACTAATGTTTTCCATCCCCCTTAATACTTTTGTAGCTTGCCTCTTCACCTTTTCTAGTTCTGCAATATCCTTCGTTAACCCCTTAGTGACCAGACCATTTTTCAGTTTTCTTACCGTTAAGGACCAGGGCTGTTTTTAAATTTTTGCTGTGTTTGTGTTTAGCTGTAATTTTCCTCTTACTCATTTACTGTACCCACACATATTATATATAGTTTCTCGACATTAAATGGTCTTTCTAAAGATACCATTATTTTCATTATATCATATAATTTACTATAAACAAATTGAACACACTTTTTCTAACTTTGACCTCCAAAATCTGTTACGCATTTACAACTGCCAAAAAACACCCATTCTAAGTAGTTTCAAAATTTTATCCTGAGTTTAGAAATGCCCAGTGTTAACATGTTCTTAGCTTTTTTGGAAAGTTATAGGGCTATAAGTACAAGTAGCACTTTGCTATTTCCAAACCATTTTCTTTCAAAATTAACACTATCTGTCAGAAAGCCCTGAATAACCCTTCACATGTATCTCTTTTTTAAAAGAAGACAACCTAACGTATTAAACTTGGGGTATTTTGACTCTTTTCATGCAATCATTTTACCACCAATCTATGCAAAATGAAGAAAAAAATTATTGGTGATTTTTTTACACACATAGCAATTTAAGAATACATGTATGGAGAACTTTAAGGGTTACTGCCAAAGAATACCCCAATATATGTTCAGCAACATCTCTCAAGTACAGCAATACCACCCATATACACCCTTTGTGTAACTTTACCCCACTCCCTCTAGCAAGTAAACTCACTGAGAAGGGCCCTCAATCCCTCTGTTACTGTGTCACTATACCCCACTCCCTCTAACATGTAAACTCACTGAGAAGGCCCTCAATCCTTCTGTTACTGTGTCACTATACCCCACTCCCTCTAGCATGTAAGCTCACTGAGCAAGGCCCTCAATCCTTCTGTTACTGTGTCACTACACCCCACTCCCTCTAGCATGTAAACGCACTGAGCAGGGCCCTCAATCCCTCTGTTAGTGTCACTATACCTCACTCCCTCTAGCATGTAAACTCACTGAGCAGGGCCTCAATCCCTCTGTTACTGTGTCACTGCCACCCCTCCCTCCTAGCATGTAAACTCACTGGGCAAGGGCCCTCAACCCCCTCTGTTACTGTGTCACTATAACCCACTCCCTCTAACATGTAAACTCCACTGAGCAGGCCCTCAATCCCTCTGTTACTGTGTCACTATAACCCACTCCCTCTAACATGTAAACTCCACTGAGCAGGCCCTCAATCCCTCTGTTACTGTGTCACTATACCCCACTCCCTCTAACATGTAAACTCACTGAGCAGGCCCTCAATCCCTCTGTTAGTGTCACTATACCCCACTCCCTCTAACATGTAAACTCACTGAGCAGGCCCTCAATCCCTCTGTTACTGTGTCACTATACCCCACTCCATCTAACATATAAACTCACTGAGCAGGACCCTCAATCCCTCAGTTACTGTGTCACTATACCCCGCTCCCTCTAACATGTAAACTCACTGAGCAGGGCCTCAATCCCTCTGTTACTGTGTCACTATACCCCACTCCCTGTAACATGTAAACTCACTGAGCAGGGCCCTCAATCCCTCTGTTACTGTCACTATACCCCACTCCCTCTAACATGTAAACTCACTGAGCAGGGCGTCAATCCCTCTGTTACTGTGTCACTATACCCCACTCCCTCTAACATGTAAACTCACTGAGCAGGCCCTCAATCCCTCTGTTACTGTGTCACTATACCCCACTCCCTCTAACATGTAAACTCACTGAGCATGCCCTCAATCCCTCTGTTACTGTCACTATACCCCACTCCCTCTAACATGTAAACTCACTGAGCAGGCCCTCAATCCCTCTGTTACTGTGTCACTATACCCCACTCCCTCTAACATGTAAACTCACTGAGCAGGGCCCTCAATCCCTCTGTTACTGTGTCACTATACCCCACTCCCTCTAACATGTAAACTCACTGAGCAGGGCCCTCAATCCCTCTGTTACTGTGTCACTATACCCCACTCCCTCTAACATGTAAACTCACTGAGCAGGCCCTCAATCCCTCTGTTACTGTGTCACTATACCCCACTCCCTCTAACATGTAAACTCACTGAGCAGGCCCTCAATCCCTCTGTTACTGTGTCACTATACCCCACTCCCTCTAACATGTAAACTCACTGAGCAGGCCCTCAATCCCTCTGTTACTGTGTCACTATACCCCACTCCCTCTAACATGTAAACTCAATGAGCAGGACCTCAATCCCTCTGTTACTGTGTCACTATACCCCACTCCCTCTAACATGTAAACTCACCGAGCAGGGCCCTCAATCCCCCTGTTACTGTGTGTCCAACTTGTCTGGTTACAACTACATGTTTGTTCGTTCACCCATAGTAAAGCGTTGCGGAATTTGTTGGTGCGATATAAATAATAACATAATAATAATAATAATAATAATAATAATACATCTATACAACAGATGAGCCTGATTTTCACTTAATTTTGTAAGTTTAACATTGAATACCACCCTGAACGTCAGATACATGTATGAAGTGGAACCCTCTGATGGCATGACTCACAAACACTTGGGATCTGTTTGGGAATACGAGGCTTACCTAATGGTTTCACCGCATATGTCTTCTGACTTCCTGTCTCCACGCTGTGCTCTCGGTTCTCAGGTACTTTATAGTTTTCTTTTATCTTGTTTACTTTTTCTTTCCTATCTTGTTATTAATAGCAATGACCCTTAACTGCTGCCTTTATCCTTTATATAGTCCTCCTCTTCTACTTGATCTCTTGTCTTCTTCTTGTACCCAGACTTTGCCCCCTTTTTTATACCATGCAGTAGATATTTACACGTTTGGTCCCTGCCATTCATTAACTGTTTTTTTTCTGTCCAACTGGTTTTTTTCTGCGTATTTTCTGTCCACCTCCCACCTCCAATTCACTGATCGTTTGGGAAGCTCCCTGCAGTTGTTTGTACAGTAACAATACCAGTATCTCTTCTTCCAAATGTCATCGCTAATTGCCCTGGAAAAAGCCCATCATCTATCATTATTCTGTCATTTTTTGTGTTGCTAGCTCTCAAACTCTGTTGCCTATTTTATACCTTCATTATTGTCTTTGTTATTCGATAATTTGCTAAAACAAAAACCCATAAATTACCAGAGTAAAAATTATTTACTGACTCAGGAACCTAGCGAGCAGCACAGGCGTTTATTGCATCAAGATTTGGCAGAACATTTTTACAGATATATTTTAAGGGTCTGAGCTTATCATAGGGCAAAATACAGTGATAACGGTAAATTGCTTGATCAAACAAGACATTGCAGAGAAAAGCTGGGCAGGATATCAGTTTTATCTCCACATCAAGCTCCCGCTGGCAGCAAACTCACTTACTTCATGTTAACATCTCATCATTTCATAAAATACAGGATTTAATCAGTCTGTTAAATCTAAATCACCTTTACGGCTCCGTTCCAGCCTGGGAGAGTTGCAAAATGTGCAAATTACCCGAAGGACAATGTAATAAATAGCATCTAACACAGCGACATGTACAGACTGGCCATAAATAGAAAACAGATTAAATTAAAATTAAATTAGATTAAAGGACCACTAAGGTCACTTAGAGAAGTGTTTCTCAACCTTTTATGGAGAGGTTCTCCTGCAAGTCTAAAAACATTCCCAAGTGCCCCAGCCTCGAGAAAGTCATTTCTATTAATTTCAATTCCAAATGAAACGTGTTTATTCCATATTGGAGAACAAGTCTGATTAAAGAGTATTTTTAAAATAAATATGAGACAATGTGAATATTATGTATGTAAGCAGTTAGAACTATTAATATGAAGTATAAACTCACAAAAAAAATATACACTATAATAAATATAAATATAATAATGTAAACACACGGACACACACACTTACACGTAGAGGACACTCACACACACAGATTTACACACAGAGGACACTGGCATACACTCACATTTACACTCAGAGGATGCTGACACACACACATTTACACACAGAGTACACTGACACACACACATTTACACAAAGAGTACACTCACACATTTACAACCAGAGGACACTGACACACACACACACACACTTACACACAGAAGACACTGACACACACTCACATTTACACTCAGAGGATGCTGACACACACACATTTACACACACAGGATACTCACACACACACATTTACACACAGAGGATACTGACACACACATTTACACACAGAGTATGCGCACACACACACATTTACACACAGAGTACATGCACACACACACATTTACACACAGAGGATACTGACACACATATTTACCCACAGAGGACACTGACACACACTCACATTTATACTCAGAGGATGCTGACACACAAATTTACACACAGAGTATACTCACACACACACATTTACAACCAAAGGATACTGACACACACAGAGGAAACTGACACCCACATAGAGTACACTCACACACACACATTTGGACACAGAGGATACTGACACACATTTACACACACACATTTACACACAGAGTATGCGCACACACACACATTTACACACAGAGTACATGCACACACACACATTTACACACAGAGGAAACTGACACACATACACATATAAAACACTGATGCACGCACATTTACACACAAAGGAAACTGACACACACGCTGTTATGGTTTTGACAGGAGGAGCCCAGGGAGCAGTAGAAAACCAAAAGTGAAGTACCAATCGGGATTAAGCAAACTCGTAGCCAAGGGAAGCCAAGGTCAGGGGCAGGCAGCGTAGGTTCAGGAATGATTAATAGGCAAACACAGGTTAGATGTAGCTGCACCAGGGACCACAGTATAACTGAGGAGTGAGTTAGCTGTGATTATGTAGGGGAGAGGTATCCACCTCTCCCAAACTATTGGTTTAGTGATCCGGCTCTTTAATTGTTGTGGGACACTCTGCCCCTTTAAAAGGTGGTCATCCTGGCGCTCACGTGGCTAATTCTCCCCCTGTCTGCTTGTGTTAACTGCGGACCGTGGCTGGACTGGGATTGCCACAGCACCGCTTTTAATTTGAAGAATGTCCGCCTCCCTTTCCCTATGGATGAGCAAGTTGGGATCTCCGGCGTGCTGGGAAGAGAGGCCGCGTCGGCCACAATGTGAGACGCGTCGAGGGAGTTCCAGGTGAGTGTAAACGTAACAGTACCCACTTTCTAGGATGCCGTCTCTGGGGGCATAGTGGTGCAGGAGGATCAGATTGTTTAGAATGGAAGATTTTCACAAGTCGGGGTGCATGGACATTCTTTGCGGGTTCCCACGATCTCAAGACCTTAGCCCTTCCAGTGTATGAGATATTCGAGATTCCTTCTATGTCTTTGAGAATCCATGACCTCTGGTTCCAGTTACAGGTTCAGGGGGTGGCATATTCCTGACAGGGAAGGGATTTCCTTTAGCAGGCTTTACCAGAGAGACATGAAATGAAGGGTGTATATGATATTAATGAAGTAAATCTAATTGTACAGCAACTGGTGAGACAAGCTTGGAAATATGAAATGGTGCTATGAACTTGGGACCTCAATTTTTGGTAGGACAGGACAGTCGAAGATATTTTGTAGATAGCCAGACGAGTTGATTCTCTTTATATGTAGGTGGAGATTGTCTTTTGCGATCAGTGTATTTCTTGTATGTTTGTTGACTTTCTTGTAGCATCTGTTGAGTCCATAGGAAACCTTGTGTTTATTGTTGCAAATTCATGGTGACATCTGGAACAGGCGTGAGTGATAGGATACTGGGCAGGGTATTCGGGTGAAGTCTGTAATTTAACATTCATGTGTGGAATCATGTTGTTTGGAATTGTCTGCGAACTCTGCTTTGGATAGTAGATCTTTCCAATTGGATTGTAGATGGGTACAATAGCAACAGAGATATGTTTCTAATGTCTGGCTCGTTCTCTTAGTTTGTCCGTTTGATTGAGGATGAAAAGCCGTTGACAGGTCTACTGAAATCTTGAGGGATTGACAAAAGACTTTCCAGAAGTGGGAAGTAAACTGTGTTCCTCGTTCTGAAAGGATGGATTTGGGTATTCCATTTAGTCTGAAGATGTGATCAAGGAAAAGAGCTGTGGTTAGTTTGGCTGTAGGACAAGCAAACATGTCAAACTCAAAGTCTGACACGGGCCACATAAACAAGGTATAGGTTTATGTGGGCCGCAACAAAAAAATACCTTACAATTTGTATGAAAGTGTATATTTCGACTTATATTTGAAGTGTGCATATATTAGTGTGCAATATGCCTATATGTATCTAATTGTGAATGTGTGTAAATAACTAAAGGTGTATATGTCAAGAGACACATAGGAAGGCAGAATTTGTAGTTTTGGGAGGGGTTACAGGGCCTAAAAATTCACAGACCTCCCCTACCTCTGGGCTGAGACTGCCTGGGTCAGAACAGAACCACCTACTTCCGGTTCAAAGGTCATCAACACAAACTGCCTGAACTCCAAACAAGCCCCTTTTGGCCTTGTGCAGCCCGTGGAAGTATCCATTTTAAACTATAAGATACTCAAAATAACTAGTACCTGAGTATCCACTGGAATAATGAATAATAATGATTCTATACAAAGTGAGATATAGAGATATATACAATAATAGAAAAATGGGTCAGGTGACAGTAGAAAATAACTGCCTAATGGCAAAAAACTCCCTCCCTAATGTCTCTAAAAGTAGATACTGCAGTACACAGGTTTAGACTTTAATATATAATGCTTCATAGGTCAATATCTGTGACTGCCGGCTAGTATCAATACATCCAAAGAATATATAAGAGACATTAAGGACTTGCTTTTACCTAGTAAATCTCAAGCTGTGGCATTATATAAGATATAATACTAGATTGCTAGCATATTGGAACATTAGAGGCTGAGTAAGCAGAAAAGTATAAATAGATACTATATGTTGGATCTATTGAAAATAATTCAATCAGTAAATTGTATCAAACAAGTATCTATAATGTTAACTGCCATGTACTCAATTGCTAGCATATTGGGACATAAAATAGATACTACTCTCAATACACTTTAT